GAAGCTCCATAACATTTGAAATTGTTAGAGTTGACTTGAATAACTGTTTTTACATTAATGTTGCCCTTAAACTGACTCCTTTCTTCGCTCAGTGTTTTTATAAATGTTTGACAGACTTTTGGTATAGACTTTTTGATTTTATCAAAATACAAAAAAAAATCCATAATCAGCTTCATAATAATCTATCAGATTTAACCATTCATTTCAAGTTACTATTACTGACGCACTCTGATTTGAAGAAACAAAATGTTGGATCAAATTGAAATTCATTGTGATCTTTGCGAAGGAGTGATTTGTTGATAAATTGGGATTTGGGTGCTTCATCTAGACATGAAACAAATATTCTCCAAGATTCAAGAAATCTTTGGTAATGTTTAAATAAAGATGATATTCTAGGATCCGGACATTTCGACGCCAGACCACGAAACTTTGGGCCTACCTTAACAATTTTTAAAACATTTTCATAATTTGCCTAGATTTTATAATTAGTGATCTTTAATATGTTCAGGTAATACGATCGCAATATAATAATGTCTCTATGTACAATTTGTTTTCAGATGCAAGGACGTGATTAATAATTAGCATTCATAAGTCGAGTGAGATAATAATGCTCTAGAAAATCCTAAAAACAATACGTTACGAAACTCGCAGTTTGCCGTGCCGTACATTTTGTATATAGATGTACAATTTACATTCACTTTTGGCGATTTCAACCACTTCAAATCAAAATTTTGAAAAATCCTTTCTCAGTGAAATTATAACATTTATCTATCCTTAAAATATCAAGTCAGTAACTCTAATATTTTCGGTTAGGTTTTTTCAACAGTTTTAAATTATTAATCTGAAATAATAATTAAAAATTAATTTATGAATTTACTAATCTTTTACTTGAAATACTCCAATATTATTATAGTATTAGAACACAAATATATTTGTAATAAGAGCTGTGGTGGTGATTACAGATTGTTAAGCAATAATCCACCTCAACACCAAGAAAATCTTAAATCCACAGATTGCACGATGGGCAACTCTGTTGAGTGAAAATAACTTTGACATCAAGCATTTATTAGATAGTGAGGCGTCCAGGCCAACAAGAACGACTCTGACGTTTGACGGCAGCTTCTGCAACCAGAACTCTTTCAGTGCCTCTTCGCCTATGCCCGGTGACAGGTCACCACGCATGTCACAGAGCAGCTGCGACGGACTTCGGTCGCCTAAACCTCCGTATCGGACCAACTCCCGGTACTTGGCAGCATTGGTTGTTGCGAATACATCGGTGAGACGCGTGCGTATTGCCTCGCACGACGCCGACGTCCCCAGAAGATCACCGAGAGTTCGAATTGTCGCCTGATCCAGTGCTGCGACGACATAGTGCACCTTTGACGCGTTCGAGGTGATGCGCTGCGCCACGAACATAGCTTCCGCGTGATTAAACCAGAAGGCGAGGACTGGTTCCAAAAGGTCGGGAGTCGAAAATTGGCGACAGCGTCAATTGATGGTGCGATGGTCGCGTTATTGACGGGTGGGTGGGCATTTCGTGTGTTGTCGCCCGGCTGTTGCTGCTCGTTGTCTAAGACCAACGAGCCAATAGCCGAAAAACGTGTCGGAGGCACAGGATTAGCGTACGCGGTCACGACGGTACGGTAACGCGAGGTCGGGCGCACTTGTCGCGCGTTTGGAATGGCTACAACGGGTAGCTATTAAGGTGTGCTACGACTTGCGAGGTCGCCAATGTGGAGGTACTCGGACTAACACTTGAGAAACCTCCAACGTCGTCATTACGATCGTAACCACGATGTACCTGAGTGTTGACTCTAGTAAAAAAAAGAACTAGACTTGGTTAAAATACAATACTAATTTATTTGCAAGGAAAGAGTAGTTTACAAAAGATGTGACAGTGTCGGGTGCGTACGGTCAAAATGGACGGTTGGTCACTAGGATTTTTTGTTTGCCTAGGACAGAACTGTGCGTTAAAAGACGGCGGAGAGCGTGCGCTGCTTTAGCGCGATCGGAAAGAATAGGAAGAGACCTCCGGTCGCCGAGCGCGGCAGCCGTCGCCCGCCGGGGATCACTGTGACCAACCGTCTTACAATGCCACAGACGCCGGTGGGAAATTATGTGGCGGCGGCTCGCCACATTGCTATGACGGAAATCAGCAATATAAAACTGGGCAAAAGTGCATCCATAGTGCTGTATGCAGATGACATCGCGCTAATGGTCGCAGCGGCTAGACCACATACCGCTTTTAGTCGCATTGAAGGATATTTGGAGAGCCTCATGACACAGCGCCTGCGGGGTTACTGTATAAGGTTCTGCGGTGCGCCGCTCAAAGTGATTGTGGGAGTGGTGATTCACAAAACAACAAAACAAAACAACTGACGATCACCGGTTGTGGTTTTTACTGTTTTTATTGTAACACGCTAATAATGTAAGTTACAAAATGTTCACAACGACCAAGATGCGTGTTGACGGCGAAACGGTGTGAGGTGTGCACGACGACAAAAGAAAATATTGACGGCGAAACTGTGTGAGGTATGCACGACGACGAGAGCAAGTATTGACGGCGATAACTGTGTATTGTGACCGACGACCAGATGGATGTTGTCATGATGACGGTTTTGGCAAAAGGGAACGATACCGGGCGGCCGGTACTTGCCCGGCCCGACCTGTCTTCCCCTCCCACCCTATGCCTTTGCGGCGAGGTGGGAGAGTTGACTGTGTTGAACCGACTATGCCCGTGGTGGTTGTTGGTAGGTTCCACGTCATTTGGTCCGGTAAATTATATCCGGCGACAATTGATCCACGACATTTCATCCGGTTCAAAAAGAACTTGTACCAAAAATATCCTGCTAAAAAATGTCCGGTAACAAAAAAATATAAAATATATATACCTTATATACAGAAAACGGTCAGAAAAACCACAAATTAACGAATCTAATCAGTTCTCAACGATTTATCAGATATAAATTATTATTATGTTGGAGATAGCGATACATCCGTTTTTTTCGATTTTAGTACATGTGAACACCTAGCCGTTTGCAAACGTGTATGAATAACGTTAACTTTAAATAATGCCACTTACATTTATAAAAAGCCAAAAAGGCCAAAATATGCTTATAAATAAAGGTTTTTTATTTAGTATTCATGATGTGTATGAAACTAAAGTAGTATGTTGTATGGCGTTGTACCGAGTATAAAAAGTTGTCATGTAAAAGCCGATGTCACACAACAACGAAAGACGAAACGGGTATGTACTTAAATTTGTATACTAAATTAATAGAATTTAATTAATTATATTTATTTATAATAATAATAATAATATTTATAAAATAAAACATTAATTATTTTGATGTAGACTTTATTTCAAATTGTACATTCCACATTTCATACAATGTTTTGTTTTTTTTTCGTAGGATCGATTTTAAAAGAAACTGATCATTCGCATGCTCCAAACTTAGCCAAAATTGAGGCCAAAGAACTGGTGAATACTATAAAGGATACTGCTATAACAGAAACAACTTCTACAAGAAATATAATTTCAAATGTGTTGGGTCAAACTTCTGTTCCGGTAATTGGACAATTACCTATTATAAAATCATTGTCAAGGACTATTCAACGGACTCGAGTAATAAAATAAAATGCTCCAGTTAATCCAAGTAATACCAAAGACTTAATTATTCCTGAAATATATAAATTGACTAACAAAAACGAAACATTTTTGGCATACGATAGTGGTAGTAGTGAAAGCAGAATTTTAACTTTTACTACTCAGTACAATTTAAATATGCTTCAAGAAACAGATGACTGGTTTGGTGACGGAACTTTTAAATCTGTTCCCTCGATATTTTCACAATTATATACAATTCATTGTTACACACGTAGCTTAGTTATCATAGACGTAAATAGGGGGGGGCTTGGGTGGGCTTAGCCCACCCTTCAGCCTCTCGAGCCCACCTAAATGAAATATGAATTGAAAACAATCAAGTAATTGAAATAATACATTTTTGTTTACCTACCTTTACTTATATCACAATAGAACACAATCATATTGTGTGACACAAAAAATAAGTGATAATAAATATCGAATATTGTGATAATGGTATGGAACAAGTTACGGCTACAGGTAGTAACAACTACAACAGGTGCAGAAGATGATCTAAATGTAATTGAAGGTGTTAGAACTGTCAAAGATTATTGGATGATAAATGCTTACTTCCCAGTAGGTACTTGATGCTATAATTATGAACATGAAAACAAGATTTTCTACTGAAAGCCTAAAATTTGCTAAATCAGTTGACACATTTTTAGACCTTCAATATGAAAAAGATTCCTGTTTTGTCGACCATTATAAGGTGTGTTATTCAAAATAAATTCAATTTTTCCTTTGTGTTTGATTCTTTATCATAAACATTTTTGTTTCAGTCTATGTTACAAATTGAAGAAGCTGATTTAAAATGTGAAATTACTGTAGCCAAAAATTGTTTGGAAAACAAAAAATTAACTGTGATGCCCTAACTCAGAGAGAGATACTTCAGTCTGTTGTTAAATTTGACACATATCCAAATGTCTACAAATTATTGCATGTTGCATTGTCAATTCCCATTAGTTCTGCTTCGTGTGAACGATCGTTCTCCTCAATGAGAAGAATTAATACTTATTTAAGGTCAAATATGGCACAAAACAGATTTACAAATTTAAGTATTCTTAACATTGAGCGAGAATTATCAAACACAATTAATAATGATGATATTCTTAATCAATTTGCAAAAAAAGATAGAAAAATGCAATTATAACAATAATACTACCTACTTATACTATTTTGTAATAAATGTACTTTGCTTGTGGATATTTAAAGTTGTATTTCTTTATTGAAAATGTTGGTATTCATAATTGTATTATAATATTTTCTTATTTATTAAGGGTAAGGGACAAGGTTATAGTCCTACAACCCCTCTCCTCTGTTAAACATTTTAACTAAGGGCTCGAGCCCACTCAATTTAATGGCTCTAGTTACGTCTATGTTAGTTATTCCATTAGTGTATATATTAATGACTAGTCGTACAAAGGAAGTATACGCTGAAGTTTTAAGGCAATTGCTTGTATTAAAACCAGATCTGAACCCAAAAACTATTAAAATAGATTTTGAGCAATCCTTTGTTTCGGCGTTCAAACAAATTTTTCCTAATGCTCATATAAGTGGATGTTTTTTTCATTTTGGCCAGTGTGTATGGCGTAAAGTACAATCTACTGGGTTACAAAAGAAATATGCAGAAGACTCAACGTTTGCTCTCCATGTTAAACAATTATGTGCTTTAGCATTTGTGCCAGTCCTTGATGTAGTAAAATCTTTTAATACTATCCTAGAATCCCAATATTTTATTGATAATGAACAATTGTTTGAACCTATAGTAGATTACTTTGAGGAAACATGGATAGGTCGAACAGTTCGTAATAGAAGAAAAAAACCATTATTTCCAATAGAAATGTGGAACTGTTATGACAATGTAATTAATGACCAACCTCGAACAAACAATGCTGTTGAAGGTTGGCACCATGCTTTCAATGCATCATTGGGAAGTCATCATACGACTATTTGGAAATTTATATCTTTTTTGAAGCAGGAACAGGGGCTCCAAGAAGCAAAACTAGAAAAAATTAATCTGGGGGAAAATAACCCTACAAAAAAAAAAAAATATAAAAACATAGACCAACGTCTTAAAAATACAGTAGAAAACTATGAAACTTCAAATATCATTACGTATTTGAAGGGTATCGCTCATAATTTTAATTTATAAACATTTGTATTCTATATTATTACTTTTATTATGACTATTTATATTTTATATTTTTTTTATAATGACGTTTTTAAAAATTATGAAAATAAAATAACAACTAATTAAAATAAAACTATATATTTATATTTTATATTTTTTTGTTACCGGACATTTTTTAGCAGGATATTTTTGGTACAAGTTCTTTTTGAACCGGACCAAATGTCGCGGATCATTTGTCGCCGGATACTATTTACCGGATCAAATGACGGGTCACCGTCAGAGATAGGGAGACTGAGTCCTCCTGCATCTCCCCACTTTAACCCCTGCTAATGGTGATGTACTGCAGACTTCGAATTAATTTATTCAAGTCTGGATAAAGGAAATAAGGTAATAGGCATGTTCCTTGATTTAAAAAGAGCATTTGATTCGTCGGTCATCTATAATATTTTTATAACGAAATTAAAGTCCGTAAAATTGCTCTATCACTATCCTCATCTTACCTTTCAAATAAACACTCAACACAGGTAGTTTGAATTAATGAGTGCTTTAGTTTTTCGATTTCTGTTAACTGTGGTGTTCCCACCTACCGTCTTAGGACCCATACCTACTATTCCTTATATACATTAATGGACTTATTAATTTGAAAATTAATGGATAGGTAATTTATTTTGCAGATGATATATTAGTGTTACCTTGAACATGATAATATTGACAATCAATATAGCTTAGCTAATAAATGTATCAACAACATTAAAGCCTGGTTACTGGTTAGATAAAAATTTTCTTGAACTTAGTATTAACAAATCTAAATCTATGTTTTTTAGTATAAATAATACTAATGTAGATACCTTAGAAAGATGTCATAGCTCATAGCTAAAATTGTTTATGTAAAATAGAATTTGTGATTGGCATTTACTTGAGAATGTTTCCAAAATAAAATATTTAGGCAATATCTTTGATTATAATCTTAATTGGAAAGAGCACATAACATACAATATTTGTAATTTTATCAGAAAATTATTTTATAAATTTAAAATATTAAAAAAAAACTTAATCTTCATAACAATAGGATAATTTACATTGCACTAGCTCAATCTATAATTAGCTATGGAATATGTATTTGGGGATATGCTTTTAAATCAAACTTTTACCCACCAAACATAACTTTAAATAACTTGATAAGAATAATTTTAAATAGACCTAGACTTAACTCAGTTTATTATCTTTATTCCAAACTGTCAGTTATAGTTTGAATTCCATTTTCATAAAGGAATATTCTACTTAAATGTACTCTGTTAAATTTGATAACGTAAAATTAAATCAAAAATATAATACTAGAAGTAAGGAAAAATCTAATACTAAATAAGTTTTTTGTTCTACTACTTTTGGCAAATATTGATTAATGTTTTTTAATTTTTAAATCATATAGATATAATAGTTCTAAGAAACATGTCAACACCTTAGATTTATATAATTACCTTGTGTTACATATTATATGTAAATACTTTTTTTTATTAATTTTGAATATCTATATTATATAAATGAACTGTCGGTATATAATACAATCTTAGTTAAAAAATTTAATGTATTTTTTATGAACTCTCTCATTTCAGCATAAGCTATTAAGCTTTGCTTTTGAAATGAGAAAATAACCATTATTTAATTGTATTGTATATGTAGTCTGTAACTTGAAAAATTATGTTATTAATTATAGTAATTATTATTATTATGATTATCAAATAATTTATAACATTCTATGTTTAATAATAATATGTAAAATTAGTACCTACTTATTTAAACATTTAATTTAATATAAAATCAAAGTTATTTTGGAAAATACAATGAATGGGTTTCACAATTTAACGAGTGTAAACAATTTAAAAAGAAAAGCAATTTAGTTTTAGTAAGTATTCTGAAGTAGGAATTGTATATGGTATAACTAATCAAATTGAAATTTTGCATTTAATTTCTATTTGTTGTAGAAATCATAGAATTTTTTATGGTAATCAAATGTAAACAATTTGTGGATAATGAAAGTGCTTAAATCAGTTACCTATATTTCTTAAAAATAGCTAAAATTATTATTATACTTTTTCTAAATGTCAATAACTAATAAGAAAATATACGTCAATACTATATTTTCTGTGAAACCAAGTTAAATAAAATATTATTAAGATAAAAAACAGATAACAAACTCATGACAACATCCAACCTTTTATTTTGTCATCTTATAATTAATAATAACATAATAATATAATACAATCTAACAATTATTTATAATTTACATTAACTTACTTACTTGAATTTACTTTGATATTTAAGAGAAAAAAATTCTTTGAAAGGAAATATTAGGTATTCGACTAAACGAACAAACCCAGTTTGGCACATCTAAGCGTTCCACACATGATGCACATACCCACGCATGGCCATTGGCCGCATGGCAAAATTATATACTCGGCTGCAGTGCCATTTACCGTTACTACCATACACACCATGCATACAGAACTTTCTCCTGGCGGATCAGCAACATCAACCCTTTCTTCTAAAGGTAAATCCCAAGGCCTTCGTGCTGGTGGGTCTCCAACATTAAGTTCATCTTCTAAAGGTAATTCGTCAGGTGGTATTTGTTCAAAATTTTCAATCTGTCCTTCATCGGCCATATCGTCATTGTTGCGCAGAGCCCAAATCCGTTGTCTCTGTTCGTACCCTTCAGTGACATAAGAACATCTTTGCAAAAATTGCCAAATGGAAATCAATCCTAAATTTAGTTNAGTATATTTAATAATAAAAAACAATCTGCTAAAGAAAAATGCAATCTCATTGTTGGTAAAATAGGTATTAATCACCCTCAAGAACCAGAAAAAGAGTTGGAATCAGTTGACACATTTTTAGACCTTCAATATGAAAAAGATTCCTGTTTTGTCGACCATTATAAGGTGTGTTATTCAAAATAAATTCAATTTTTCCTTTGTGTTTGATTCTTTATCATAAATATTTTTGTTTCAGTCTATGTTACAAATTGAAGAAGCTGATTTAAAATGTGAAATTACTGTAGCCAAAAATTGTTTGCAAAACAAAAAAATTAACTGTGATGCCCTAACTCAGAGAGAGATACTTCAGTCTGTTGTTAAATTTGACACATATCCAAATGTCTACAAATTATTGCATGTTGCATTGTCAATTCCCATTAGTTCTGCTTCGTGTGAACGATCGTTCTCCTCAATGAGAAGAATTAATACTTATTTAAGGTCAAATATGGCACAAAACAGATTTACAAATTTAAGTATTCTTAACATTGAGCGAGAATTATCAAACACAATTAATAATGATGATATTCTTAATCAATTTGCAAAAAAAGATAGAAAAATGCAATTATAACAATAATACTACTTATACTATTTTGTAATAAATGTACTTTGCTTGTGGATATTTAAAGTTGTATTTCTTTATTAAAAATGTTGGTATTCATAATTGTATTAAAATATTTTCTTATTTATTAAGGGTAAGGGACAAGGTTATAGTCCTACAACCCCTCTCCTCTGTTAAACATTTTAACTAAGGGCTCGAGCCCACTCAATTTAATGGCTCTAGTTACGTCTATGTTAGTTATTCCATTAGTGTATATATTAATGACTAGTCGTACAAAGGAAGTATACGCTGAAGTTTTAAGGCAATTGCTTGTATTAAAACCAGATCTGAACCCAAAAACTATTAAAATAGATTTTGAGCAATCCTTTGTTTCGGCGTTCAAACAAATTTTTCCTAATGCTCATATAAGTGGATGTTTTTTTCATTTTGGCCAGTGTGTATGGCGTAAAGTACAATCTACTGGGTTACAAAAGAAATATGCAGAAGACTCAACGTTTGCTCTCCATGTTAAACAATTATGTGCTTTAGCATTTGTGCCAGTCCTTGATGTAGTAAAATCTTTTAATACTATCCTAGAATCCCAATATTTTATTGATAATGAACAATTGTTTGAACCTATAGTAGATTACTTTGAGGAAACATGGATAGGTCGAACAGTTCGTAATAGAAGAAAAAAACCATTATTTCCAATAGAAATGTGGAACTGTTATGACAATGTAATTAATGACCAACCTCGAACAAACAATGCTGTTGAAGGTTGGCACCATGCTTTCAATGCATCATTGGGAAGTCATCATACGACTATTTGGAAATTTATATCTTTTTTGAAGCAGGAACAGGGGCTCCAAGAAGCAAAACTAGAAAAAATTAATCTGGGGGAAAATAACCCTACAAAAAAAAAAAAATATAAAAACATAGACCAACGTCTTAAAAATACAGTAGAAAACTATGAAACTTCAAATATCATTACGTATTTGAAGGGTATCGCTCATAATTTTAATTTATAAACATTTGTATTCTATATTATTACTTTTATTATGACTATTTATATTTTATATTTTTTTTATAATGACGTTTTTAAAAATTATGAAAATAAAATAACAACTAATTAAAATAAAACTATATATTTATATTTTATATTTTTTTGTTACCGGACATTTTTTAGCAGGATATTTTTGGTACAAGTTCTTTTTGAACCGGACCAAATGTCGCGGATCATTTGTCGCCGGATACTATTTACCGGATCAAATGACGGGTCACCTTGTTGGTAAGGTGCAGACCGGTCGTTGTGGTGCCCGTACTTTGAACTGGCGACTGTAACGTACCGTGTCACTCAGAGAATGGGCAGAGAAATACAGACTACTGTTCTCAGCAGCGAAAAGCCAACTACTCAGCCTAAAGGGACTGCTAAAACCGGATTACTCGGTCAGCTTCGGCACTCAGGAAAGAGCACCCAGAATAGCGGCCAGTGATACGGCCAAGTACCTAGGTGTTATACTGGATTCCCGACAAAGCTATTGGAACCATGTGCTGGCACTAAAACAGAAATCAGAAGGCATGTACACACGGATCAGATGCATGACGTCAGCTAACTGTGGCATGGGCCGAGTTGCTGCAAGAACGATATACGAGGCGGCGTTCCTACTATGCAT